GCGCAGGATTCTCGTTGCAGTGGCTTCTCTTGTTGTAGAGCACAGGCTCTAGGCGCACGGGCTTCGGTAGTTGCAGCATGCTGGCTCAGTAGTTGTGGCTCGTGGGCTCTAGCACGCAGGCTCAGTAGTTGTGGTGCACAGGCTTAGTTGCTCCGCGGCATGTGGGATCTTCCCGGACCCGGGCTCGAACCCACGTCCCCTGCATTGGCAGGCAGATTCTTATCCACTGCGCCACCAGCAAAGTCCCAACAGCAGTAGCCTTCTAACTGATCTCTGTGCTTCATCCCTTGACCCTCCTGCCCCGGTTTATTTTCTACATAGCAACCAGTTTCTTTTTTTTCTCCTTTGATCTGAAGGTGTTTCTTAATGAGATATAATCACATACAATGAAATGCACATACATGTACAGTCCACTGAGTTTGGACAAATGTAGACACCTGTGTAACAAACACCCCAGTTAAGATATAAAACATTTCCATTATCCCCCATAAGTTCCAGAAGGATCCTTTTTAAAGCCAGTGTTAGATCATGTTAGTCCTCTGCTCAGTACCTCCCAGTGACCCTCCATGTCACTGAGAATAAAAACTCAAGTTCGTACAATGGCTCATAAGGCTGTACACAGTCTGCCCTCGCCCCCCCCATTACCTTTCTTATCTAATCTTAGAGTTCTTTCCTCTTCCTTCAGTCTACTCTGTACGGGCTCCCAAAACAGATAATTACATTTCTTCCTCACTGTTCCTAGGACACGTCAGGCACTTTCCTGCCTCAGGGCCTTTGCACTTGGTGTTCTGTCTGGAATGCTCTTCTCCCAGATATCTGCTTCATTTAGGTCTCTGCTCAAATGTCACCTTATCAGAAGAGGCCCTCCCTGACCACCCTATATAAAATAACATGCCCCCCCACCCTGCACTCTCATCCCCTTACCTTGCTTCATTGTTCTTCATAGCACTTAGCTCAATCTATTATATATTATGCATGTATAATTCTGTTAGTCTCCCTCATGTAAGTTCTAGAGTGCAGGGACTTGAATGCTTTTGCTTTGGCTGTATCTCCAGTGCTTAACTCAATGCCTGGCATATAGTGGGTGCTCAAAAACTATTTATTAAATGAATGTCCACAGCCTCCGGTCTAGTCCAGTCTGCCATCATATCGCCTGGACTAGTGCACGAGCCTCCTAAATGATCTCCCTGGCTTGTGTCCAGTCTCCACGATCCATTTCCCACACTGCAGAATTATCTTTTTAAAATTCAGATCTGATCATCTCACTTTCTTTCTTAAAACCCTTTGATGGCGTCCCTTTGCCCTTCTGATAAAGTCCAGAGTCCTTAATATGACTTGCAATGTGGCTGACTTGGCCCTGACTACCATCTGTCTTTTGCCTCCAGCATCCTGGTCTGCTTCGAGTTCTTAGCTGAAGCCAGTCTCTCACTTCAGGTCCTTGGTGTATACTAACCCTCTGACTGTGATACTCTTCCTACCACCCCCCTTTCAGGTCTCAATTTGAGGGTCATCTCCTAGGGGAGCCTCCTCTGAGCTCTCAGACTAGGTTAGTGCCTTCAGAGTCCAGCTGCAACTCATCTCTGCTGGCATGCTTTCTTTCCCTCCCCCCCCCCCCATTTATTTTTTGCCATGCCACAAGGCTTGCGGGATCTCAGTTCCCCAGTTAGGGACTGAACTCGGGCCACGACAGTGGAAGCCCGGAGTCTTAACCACTAGGCCACTAGGGAACTCCCTCCATGTTTAATTTTTTTTTTAATTTGTAGGAATAACTATTTAGTTTTCACCTATGAAATGAAGTTGCACAATTTAATTAAAGGTGATAAAAATATTTCTTTTAAAAACTTTAATCATAAACTTTGTAAACATGAAAAATACCTTGAGTACACCACTGATTTTTGCTAGTCATTGTCCTGTTTCTTTCCATGACACTTTTTAGAACACTGTCTTCCTTTGCGTTCCACCTCAGTGTAAGCTTCTCTTTCTCCATCTGCCTCTACAACTTCCTCTTTCCTGTTCTGCTGTTTTTTTGTCTCATCTCTTAAATGATGTTTTCTGTGTGATGCTTTCTTTAGCCCTTTTCCCACTAGGCTTCTCATGTATCCCCACTGTACTTAATACATTCTGTTAAAGAATGTTATCACATTATATCAAGTGAGTTTGATTCTGAACTCTCCCAAAGTCTGGGATTGGCTTAATCCTGAGAGATCAACTCACTGCACTTTTGTTCTTGTACTCATCACACCTGCACTGTTTGATGTCCAGCTCCATGAGGTAAGGGGCTATGTCTATCTTGTTTGCTAATATCCCGTATGCCAGGCATGGTGCCTGACAGAGTTGCTCAAAGAATATCTTTAAATGGACTAATGAATATGAATATAGAAACTCTAACCCACAATTTATTCTTACATCTGTTTCCTGGGATCAGCCCAAATTCTAGTCAGATCAAGAAAAATTTACTAGTCATTTTCCCTAACTGGCCTCCCTGCCTTCCATCTCCCTGCCATCTATCCGATAGCCTGCAACCACAGTAACATTAAAAAAAAAAAAGTCTGATTGTGTTCCCTTCCCCAAGTCTCTATCTCGTCATTACCAACAGAATATAGTCATATAGTCAAAGCTCCTCAGCTTGGGTTCAAGGCTTTGGCCCTGATCCCCTTTTTCAAACCTCTGTGGGTTTATTTATTAAGTGCTTATTATATGCCAAGCACTGGCCTGGTCACTGAGGAGTTCACAAACTATTTGGGAACACAGGTACATAGATTAACTTTAATAGGGCGTGATCAGCTCTATTACAGGGTCTGAGAGAACACAGTTTCAGACAATGGATTATAAAATGTTAGATTTTTGCCCTCTGCAGGTTCACAAGTTCAGTGTAGAACTGCATGTCCAATACGGTGGCTACCAGCCACATTTCAAGTGCTGAACAGCCACCCGAAGCTAGTGTAGTGGCTGTCATACTGGACCACGGAGCATAGGCCATTTCAGTCATCCATGGCAGGGGGTTACCTAAAGGTGCTTTAAGGAGAGCAAGGAGCATCTCCCATACGCACAGGCTGTGGGGCTCTAGCTACCAGTCTCCCGACCCAATTCTCCCACTCCCACTGCTGCCCTCAAACCCCAACAGACACACCTTGGCTGGGGTGTATTTTGTTTTGTTTTTTGCGGTACGTGGGCCTCTCACTGCTGTGGCCTCTCCCGTTGCGGAGCACAGGCTCCGGACGCGCAGGCTCAGCGGCCATGGCTCACGGGCCCAGCCGCTCCGCGGCATGTGGGATCTTCCCCGACCGGGGCACGAACCCACGTCCCCTGCATCGGCAGGCGGACTCTCAACCACTGTGCCACCAGGGAAGCCCGGCTGGGGTGTATTTTGAAGTAGTACGCGCTCCCAAGATGGATAATGTATGAAAGTACTTTTGTAAATTATTAAGTGATGCAAAAATGTGATATAATAAATAGGTCCAGTTCTTGCTTTCATCACAGCTTTGGTCACTTCAAGCAAATTCTAGCTCTTTTCTCGAACTTCTCCCATCCCCCAAATTTATGCCAAAGGGTTTTGAAAAGTATCTGTTACACACAGGCAGCATTTATACCAGGTAAAAATCCAGATTATACCTACCTTGGTGCTTTTACAAGCCATCCATCCAGCACCCTACTTCACCACCCGCCTTTTACTCTCACTTTCCCTAGAAAGGAAGGACACAAATTAACATTTCCAAAACAAAAAAACATTTATTTTGAGATTTGAGAATAATGGGAAAATTAAGTAATGGGAATTGGACCCTCATCGGGGTCTTCTGGGAAATCGGAAGCACCATCCTCTTCTGGAGCTCTGTGCTTCTCCAGTTTAGCAATCAATTCTTTCGCTGGATTGAAGACGCCATTGGTCTGCTGGTCACAGACATAGCAGCGCGGGGTGGTGCGGAAATGCTGCAGCGCACAGCTCTCGCAGAAATAATGCTTGCACTTGGTGACAACTGGGTTTTGGAAGGTCTGGCGACAGATGAAACACTTGAATGGTATTTCCTCCTCATCGCTTCCCACTTCATAGTTTTCATCCTCATAGACACCATAGCGACCCTCATCAAGCTCACGTTCGATCTGCCACCCATGCTTGTAATCTGAACGGTCATGGAGGAATTTGCAGCTGTCTCCGAAGCCGCAAAAGCCAGTCTCCTTGTAGTCCTTACAAATGTCGGGCTGGTAATCCCAGCGCACGGTGGCACGCAGATGCTCGGGAGCTCGGATGGGGCCCTTCCTCACCATCCCGGAGGAAGCATTGCCCATAGACGTATCCTTAGGCTTCATGTATTTCTGATAATTATTGATTCCCCGATAGATCTTGTCATCTTCCTTGCCCTTCAGCTCCTCCTGGATCTTCTGGCTGCGCTCAAAGATGGCTTGCGCGTCACGTTCCTTCTCTGTGTCTAGTTCGTAGACAGCAGTCGCCCCCATATCTTCTGGCCCCACGGGTTTCGCCGAGCGAGTGGACTTATAGACCACGCCGAGGCTCTCGGGCTCGTTCTCCCCCTCCCCCTCCCCGCTACTCAGGTCGCCGTAAGCCGCATTCTGTTTACCACTGCCACGGGTTTTCTGTATCATCGGATTGTGGGTCGCCCGCTTCTTTTCCGGGCGGATCACAGTGTTGCCTTCGTCACTGCTGCTGCTGTCTCCGGACTCTCGTTTGCAGACCGGGCGCTTTCTGCGGCCTGCAGCCCCTTTTCGCACAGGCTTTTTGAAAAAAAAGGTGCACACCTGGTCTGTCGTCTTTCCTGGAGAAAGCTGCTCTGCCATTTTAAGAGTTTCGAGCTCCGAAACGGCTGTGGCCTGCTGGGTGGCGCGGAGCTGCTTCACGTCACTGCACGTCTTGCACTTGACCGCGAGTCGGTGCAAAATCCGCTGCGGAAAGATGACTGTGGGAGCAAGAGTGTGCGAAAGCGCAGGCGCGCGCCACTCTTGGGCCCTGCCGCGCTCCGTAGCTTCCTCCGCGTACATGACTCCGCCCCGCTCGTTCGCTGCCGCGGAAGTTACGGGAAAGGGTTTGAAGCCGGGTCACCTTTAAGGAGCTTGGGAGGAAGTGTTTGGCCTTGGTAACGGTGTCGCGATGTGGTTCGAGATTCTCCCCGGGATCGCCGTCATGGCCGTGTGCTTATTCATCCCGGGAATGGCCACTGCACGCATCCACAGGTTCACTAACGGGAGCAAGGTAAGGCGGCTTCACCGGCCCGGCGGCTGACTCCACCGGCTGGCGTTACGAAATGGGCGGTGGGGTCGGGAACCCATTAGGACCCGGAGCCTCTCTCCGAGATGGGGAATACCGAGATCGGCCCTTTTTCTTTTTATTGCCTAAAAGCAGAGGCTTGCGGAACGAAGCCGACGGGAACCGTATTCTACTTTAGCAAGAAACAGCTGGCTGCTAGGTGAAGCGTGGGCAGGAGGGCGGAGTAGAGTTTTGGGGGCTGGAAAGACAGGAGATTGAAAGAGGTAGGTCCAAACTGCTAGGCAGAGGAGAGAGGCGTCGATTAGTGTTGGCCCCACTCCCTCTGACCTCTGGTCTCCTTTCTTGCTGGATTTTGATTTTAATTTCTCGCATCCGTATCTTGGTATCTTCATGTTTTTCACTTTTTTCTAGCCTTCGTTTTGTTTTTGGCTGCGCCGCGCGGCTTTCGGGATCTCAGTTCCCCGACCAGGGGTTGAACCCCGCTCGGGCAGTGAAAGTGCCCAGTCCGAACCACTGGACCGCCAGGAAATTCCCCTTAATTAGGTTTCTTTTACCTTGACATTTTTTTATCCTCCCACTTTCTCTTGCAAGCCTTTAGGAACTTAGGTCATGCTCCTGTTTTTCACATTAGGATTTGTGATTTTCCTCTCTAATTAGTCCTTCACATTATCTCAGAGTATAAATGTACTTACTTTCTGGTTTTGTGATTGTCTTTCACTTGTGATCTACCACTGTCGTTTCTTCTCACTAGGGTCCCCAAAGGGAACAAGTAGTCATGACTTTAAAAAAAAAAAGAAAGGAGGAAAGAAAAAAAATGATGCTGGTTAAAATAGAAAGTGTAAGAACTCATGGTTACCACCTTAGCTCTAAAGTTTAGTGGTCCGATTTTATTTAGGATTCTGGTCTTATATTGTTAATTTGGTTTTTATATCAGTGATTCCATTTTTCTGGAATGTCACTTATAAATATCCCTCTATTGGGTCACTCATCTTTATAAACTACAATAACAATTTCTTTTAATTGTAGGAAAAAAGGGTTGCCCATTATTCATATCAGTGGAAGTTGATGGAAAGAGATAGGCGCATCTCTGGAGTTAATCGTTACTATGTGTCAAAGGTAAGATGGCTCTGACGCTAGCCCATCTGTCAGGGTTGAGGTGCATTCTGGTTAATGTTTTGCCAAAGGTCTTACAGCAGACTGGGAAATGCAAGCTAAAATAGCACTGTCTTTTACATATTTAATGATCCTTTGCATTTCTTATTATGTGGATCATCTGCCTATATCCTTTCTTGTTCTGTTGTCTTTTTCTTTTTGATTTATAGGGCTTCTTATATATATATTACAGATATTAATCTTTTGTCTCTTTTGTATGTGGCAAATATTTTTCTCAGTCTGCTGTCTTTTTTACTTTATGGTGGCTTTCATCAGATAGTTTTTTTTTTTTAACGTCTTTATTGGAGTATAATTGCTTTACAATGGTGTGTTAGTTTCTGCTTTATAACAAAGTGAATCAGTTATACATATACATATGTTCCCATGTCTCTTCCCTCTTGCGTCTCCCTCCCTCCCACCCTCCCTATCCCACCCCTCTAGGTGGTCACAAAGCACCGAGCTGATCAGATAGTTTTTAATCTTGATGTTCAGTTTATCATATTTTTATCGTTCTGGATTTTGGGTTTTATATCTTGTTTACAAATGACTTTTGTACCCAAGATTCTAAAAATATATTTCTACAGTTTCTCCAAATACCATTAAAGTCTTTTTTACATTTAGTGCTCTGACCTGTCTACAGGTCATTTTGGGGTATAATGTGAAGCAAGGATTTAACTTTAGTTTTCTCCAAGAAACAGCCAGTTGTCACAGTTATCTACATATGGAAAAGTCCATTTTTTATTTGAAATACCACTCTAGTAAACTAAACTTCCATATACACATGGGTCTGTTTCATGAATGCACTCTTCTATACTCCATTGGTTTGCCAGTTCCTGCACCAGTACATTAAAGAATTACTATAATTTTTTATTTGATTGAATCATATGAAACTGCTGTTTTTGTGGGTCAGAAATGGCCAAGCAGGGCTTCCCTGGTGGCACAGTGGTTGGGAGTCCGCCTGCCGATGCGGGGTCGCGGGTTCGTGCCCCGGTCGGGGAGGATCCCACGTGCCGCGGAGCAGCTGGGCCCGTGGGCCGTGGCCGCTGGGCCTGCGCGTTGGAGCCCGTGCTCTGCAATGGGAGGGGCCCCAGGGGTGAGAGGCCCGCGTACCGCAAACAAACAAACAAACAAAACAAACAAACAAAAATGGCCAAGCAGTAGCATTTTCATATGGTTCAACTTAATAGTATGTTCTTATATATTGTAGGAGTTCATCCTCATTATTCTTGTAAAAATTTTACTATTTTATACTTTCTCCTTGCTGATTTACCCTTCACAGCAAATCTAGGTAAATATTAATTCCATTTTATAGATGAGAAAACAGAAGGTCAGAGTGATTAAATTATAGTATAAGGACTCAACCTACGTGATCTGCCTCTCAGTATAGTGCTATTTGAGAATCTCATCTGATGAACATGATGATAGATATCTGCTCATCTAGAGTGGTATTTCTCAAAGTATGGTTCAAGAATAACCAAAAAAAGGGGGAGTGGGGGAGGAATTCCTTGGCTGGCCAGTGGTTAGGACTCTGAGCTTCCACTGCAAGGGGCAGGGACACGGGGCACGGGTTCGATCCCTGGTTAGGGAACTCAGATCCTGCAAGCCGCACAGCCAAAAAAAAAAAGAAAAGAAAAAGTATGCCATCAGGATCACCTGGCATGTGAGATGAAATACAGATTCCTAGGACCCTGACTGGACCAAATGAATTAGGATTTTTACAAGGTGGCTCCTAGGACTATGCAATTTTAATTTCTCTCAAGGTGATTCTTCCTTCAATTGAAACAGAATACGTGGAATGTGTTATTTTAACACCTGGAAGAAATGTCATCACTGATTACTCTTTTACTTTGTTGTTTCTGAAGTATTTGGTTGTGAACTGAGTAAGATAGAGTGGTCTTCTGAATAGTGTCATGCTCACAGGGCAAGAGTTCTGGAGTTGGGGGTCCCTGAACTTGAATTCTGGCTCTACTGCTTCCTTACTGACTTAAACAAGGGACTTTAAACCTTTCTGAGCCTCCATTTTTTTCACCTGTAAAAAAGTAGAATGGGGCTAATAATATCTTTCCTGATGTTGGCTGTTATTTTATAAAATGGATTTATCTTACTGTCCTCTGACACTGAGGGTGCTTTGTAGAAGGATCCAGGTGGTAAATAGTTGCTTTACTTTAGTCTTGATTGCAAGTGGAAGGGGGGGGTTGTCTTTTCATATAAAGTGGTATGTTTGCTACTGTCAGAAAATGAAAATTAGGAGTCATTATAGGTTATAGGAATCATTGTTGGTTATAGTACATGTACATCTTTGACAGGAACAGAATTCTCACATCTTCCTTTTTAAACTGTTTTTCAGGGTTTGGAGAACATTGATTAAGGAAGCATTTTTCTGATTGATGAAAAATAACTCAGTTATGCTTGTCTACCCCTGCTAGAAGGTTATGCAGTGTATTGTGTAGCATGCAGTGTATTTTGTAGTGTGTAATAAAAATAAAACAAAAAAGTAAAATCAGAGGTTTTCTTTACTTTTTAGAATGGTACTACACAAGATCAAGCAGTCTACCCAATGTAGCTTTATCACTTTAAAAAAACTAAAGGCAACTGAGGCTTGTAAAATTAGAGACATAATGTACACCAAGTGCCGATCACTGTGCCTGGTGCCTAATGTGTCACAAATGGTAGTTCCTGCTATTGTAATATTACTGAAAACCATTGTTTCTTCAGAGATTGCTAGGAGAATTCAGAAAAAGTAGTACTTTGTTTTTTTTCAAGTTCCTTTTCTGGGTGAATCCTATGTGCTTAAAATTCCAGACCGCACCTTCAACTTTCATGCACTCTGTATCCAGCACATAGTATTCACTTAAGTGTTGATTTTTATTTTAGATTGCTGTGTAGAGCAGAAACAACAGTGATTATGTTTATTAAAATGAGTGTACCGACCATTTGAAATAAAGAATTGCATGTTCAGATAATATGAAGATCTGAAAGGGTGTAACTACTGTGAAGATGGTGATACTCCATGTGTACAGATCAACACCCCAGGTGACCACAGGACCTCTGGGTGAGAAAACTAAGTTATTTGTCATCCCCATCTTTTATTTAGTTTAACATTTGATCTGCTGGTGACCTTAAACACACCTGCACTGTATAGTTTCCATTGACCTCATCTTACAGGACAGGGCTTACAGAGGAAGGAGGCGGCAGTCCCACTTAGAGGAATACTGTATATTGTGCCACCCTGTGATGATGAAACTGTTTAAGGAAAGCTGTGGTCATGGTTACAAATTTAATACAACCTCTAGTCTTTATTTAGTGCTACACAGGGCTCATTTTGCTGACTGTTATGAGAACTATCTCTGGAAAGGAAGAGAGAAGGCAGGTAGTACAGATAGGAATACAGGAGACTTACTGACAACATTACTAAATTTGTCACTAAATCTATTGATTTTTAGGTCTGTTCTCTGTCCACTGTACCTGTAGGCAGGGCTCATCCACTAGAGGATTCATCCTTAGATGAATGTCAGGGCTGTACAGCGAGGGGCTACAAAGTGACAGAAAATCAGTTGGTCAGGTTTAGCGTTAGCGTCCGAATTCTTCACTCCCTTTTTTGTGGCACTTGCTATGAAATTTAGCCTTATTTTTATACTCCACTGCCAGGGAGTAAACCAGATTAAAATGCACACTTTGAAGCTAGAAGACTATAGTGGTGCATTGTAGCCTGCATTTCTCTTGATTTTTTGAAAGTGCAGTTAGCCAGAAGGGTTTTCTTACAGCAGCTGTGACAGATGTGGTCTGGCTACTGACCTCGGGTCCATTGGTCACCTGCTTTTAAGGCCAGTTGAAAGGATGCTTGGTAAACGATGCCATTCATTTGGTTTTATTTTTTATTTATGTTTATTGAAGTATAGTTGATGTACAGTATTATATAAGTTTCAGGTATACAACAAAGTCACAATTTTTAAAGGTTACACTCCATTTATAGTTATTATAATATATTGGCTATATTCCCTGTCCTGTACAATATATCCTTGTAGCTAATTTTATACATATGGCTTTATTCTTTAACTTTTAAAACAGATACTGTATTCACATAGCTCAAAAATCCAACAATATAAGGTATTCAGTGAAAAGACTTGTTCCAGTCCCCTGCCCAGCACCTGCCCCACTGTCACACTACCCCAAAGGGTCTCTATGCATGTAGAAATACAAACACGTGTTCTTCTGTCTTCTGTGATGGTAACATTTGATACACAGTTTACCTTTATGTCACTTGTTTGGAAGAATGGTTCTTGTTTGAAATTATATCTGTCAGGCTGCCATCATTATTTCTAGGGTCAAATGAAATGGTCAGTAGGAAAAGAGTTTGAAAAAGTTTGGAGGAAGCCATACACATTCAGAAGGGGGTTGGAAGAGGATGGCCCTGCCCTTTGGGAAACACTTTTAAGTGAAATATTTATGAAAAAAAAAGACAACGCTCTAGAATCAGCAATTCCAACTTATAAGGACCCTTAGACATCTAGTCCAAATTCTGATTCCTCAGATGAGGAAACAAAGGTTCAGCGATGGGAAGCCATCACCTGGCTAGCTAGTAGCAGACCAGGGACTAGAATCTTGGTGTCTAGACTCCCAACCTAGTGTACTTTTAACTGTTCTTTGTGGCTCACTTCAATAAACACTGCTGAGTGAATGCCACATGCCAGGTACTGTGCCCCAGATTTGAATAAGACAGCCTCGCCCTTCTGGAGCTCAGTCTGGAGGACTGCAAGGCAGTTACAGGATGGGGTGGTGAGTGCTATGACAGGGGTCTGCAGAAGGTGCTGTGGGAGCACACAGCTGGGATCTGACCCAACCTTCAGATGGAGGGAAGGGAGAGGGCTTCAGGTAAGTTCCAGGTGATGCCCACACCAAGCGAAGTCTTCAAGGTTGGGGAGCATTTACGAGATAAGCAACTGAGGCGAGAAAGCAGCGCGAGTGTGAGGACACAAACTAGCGTGGCTGTGTGGGAAAGAGCCGCAAGTATTGTGCAGAACTAGAGCAAAGAGTGAGGCAGGAAGGAGAGGGAAGAGGGAGCAGAGAGGCTGGCAGGGCCCAGAACACCAAGGGCCTGGCCCGTCTCCCTTGGGTGTCAGACTTTGTCCAGGGCAGCTGGAAGCCTCTGGGGGCGGCAAGCAGGAGAGTGAGGTGAGGACGTGCATCCATCTGCCGGGCTGCTCTGCAGAGCACGCACTTAAAGACGTGCTTCACTTTTGCCAAGTTTGGAGACGTTTTCACCGTCACGTGGGGAGTCGGGTGAGGTGCTACTGACATCTAGTGGGTAGAGCCTACAGTGCAGGGGCCAGCCCCTCCCAGGACAGTTTTAGGGAGCCCGACGTCAACACTGCTGAGATCGAGAAACTCTGAAAGCAGCAGGGTCTCCATCAAGCAACACGCCAGGAAGTGTTATTTTTTTTTGGCACGGCTTGCGGGATCTTAGTTCCCCGACCAGGGATCAAACCCGTGCCCCGTGCAGTGGAAGCTCGGAGTCTTAACCACTGGACCGCCAGGGAAGTCCTGAAATGTTGCTGTTTTTTGTTTGTTTTTTTTTAAATTCCTACTTATTCAGGTCAGGAGTCTATGGGAGTAATTCCCCTTTTCCTCTCGTTCCTCGTTCTTTGTTCGTTAGAGTTCAGATCCCAGATTCTCTCTCGGCTCATTTGTAAACCTGAACTTTATCCCATCCCTGGAGGCATTTGTTTTCCCATGGATGTATCCCAACTCACTGCGAGTGACGTGCTTCAAGTTGAGAAGACAAAGAACAAACCGTTTCTTTTCTGAAGGGCTGTGGAGACTCGGAACTTTGGGGGAATCAGCACATCAGGAGGCTCGCCGCCTTCAGCTGTGTGACCTCACGCAAGTCACTTCACTGCTCTGAGGCTCAGGTCTCCTCCTATTTTCCAAGGGAAGATAATACGCACTCTGCACACGTCCCTGGGTATCTGAGATAGTCAGGACATCATGTATGTGGAGTAGTTTGTAACTGGGCAGCCCTGTGCCTGTAGAGGGGATCACTGCTGGTGCTGCAAGCACCCCTGGAACAGCTGTCCAGTCCACTCCCAGGTCGCCCAAAGGCACTTACCTGAACGTGGTAGGAGGACCCGCAGGCCCTCTGCGGAACCAAGTGTAGGTGGCGGCAGCAGTCTTGGGTCCTCTCTTAGAATGAGTGGTCACACCTAGGGATTCGCAGGACACCGCAACAAAGACAACAGACCACACTAACCTCCATAAGGACACGCATTGCTCTAAAGGTGTGTTCTGAGAGCAGAGAGGAAAATGCAGTTTCTTGCCACCGTGAGGACCGAGTGCCCGGTTACCCCTCTCGGCAGACGCGGTCTGCTCTGTTCTAGGAGAAGGTGGTGACCGGATGGGACTGAAGCTGGCCGTCCTCAACAGGGAGCCTTTGGATGGGAGGAGGGTAGAGAGTTAAACACCACTTGGTTTTCAAGATTTCATATCACCCTGATACTTTTGTGACCTGAGAACTCAAATGATTCTACTACACTTTTGTGACACATAAGACACACAGAACGGTTATCGAGGTTTTTCTTTCCCAAGTATGTCGATGCAGATTTTACGTATCTAAAGACACTGGCGTTCAGCTTCTTGGTTTGGGTCCCCGTGTGCTTGTGTAATGCTGCCTTCCTCCACCCCACCTCATCCACACACCCCTGACCCAATATTTCATCTCTGAGGTTTGCATACTCGGGAATATTCTTTTGGGATGTGCTCTTCCTTTGCTTCCCAGATGAAGCTGGAGTAGAGCCTGAGCTAGACCCTGAGGGGTTCAGAATGTTCTTATGACCTTCACATATGGGGCACTGTTGATAAAAGATGAGGAAATTTCTGTAAGGAATAAATCCAATGCTATGTTTGCATAATCTTTAATTGTTAAAGGTTTCTTTGGCCTATTTGTGTACCCTCTGTGTCTGATGCTGTTGGGCATAATATACCTCTCCCACCCCCAAAGTCTCTTTAGCATTGCAGAGCCAAGTCACTGCTTTTGGGATTTCCACAAATCTTGATTGACGACTAAAGACCTAATTGTTCTTTTCAGGGCATTACTGAGAAAATGGCCTAGCAGATCTTACTTGTGTAAACCCATGTAACTGGTGCTTTACTAGTTTGAACACACTTTGTTTCATCTGTTCTGTTTCTTGGCAGGCGTCTTCCTAAGTTCCAGAAAACATGGAGAAACCAATTATGATATATGGGCTAGAGCGTAGTCAGGTAATAAAATTGACAAACAAGTATGCAATTTCAGTTATGACCCTAAAGGACTGTAATACCAAAGGCAATAGGAAAAAAGGGAAGACAATGGAAACACTGAGCATCACTGCCCCCAAGAAAACAAGAATCTTTCCCGTGTGTTTAGGAGTTTCTTTGGTATACCTGCCTGTCCCCGTGCGTGCCACCTACCGCACGGCTGGAGAGGGTCTCTTTCACTTAGCAGACAGATTTTTTTCTTTCTAGGTTTAATACCCTTTGTTTCTACAGGCCAGAAAACAGCACAGGCCCCCAGAAGCCCACTCCGGTCTCTCATCTCTAAGAGCCTGGTCTTTGGGGCAAGGTGGGTCAGGTCTCTAGGGCAACTCTGGAGTTTTCATCCAGTGTCTGTTGGGGGCAGCCCAGTGTGGTTATGACCGTGGAACAGAACATCAAGGCATCACCATCGAAAGTCCAGCCATCCGGGAACAGCTCTGCCACAGTACTTGTGTTCTGAGCATGGCACTGTTCAGTGAGGCACTCGCCCTATGGCAGACCTGCATATGCTCAAGCTGGAACGTTCTGAGTGGTCTTCATTGACATCATGACTGTCAGGGATCCACCCAACCTGGGACTGACTGGTACAGTACAGTACTCAGGCTGTGTGGCCTTTATGGATGGAGAATGGGCCTCAGTTTAGGAAAGGCCCTGGGCTCCTACCACCTCCTCTCCCTTCCCGGGACAGTCTGGTGGCCTTTTAGACTGGAAGTGAGGTCACTCTGCCACACACTTAGAACCTGCCCCAACCCGAGATACCTTGCTACATTTGACTCACTGGTTCTCTTTTCACGTGAGCACACCTTATCTTCCCAACTACATTGTAGGTGCACTGAGGGTGGGAACCTTGTCTCACTCAGCTTCACTTCACCTGTCCACTTTGCCTGCCACCTGTCCACTTTGCAGTACTTAGAAGATATGTGCTGGCTGACTGGGCTCACCTGACAGGAGAACGTCAGCATTTAGCCCGAGCTTCATCGCTGAGAACTGACAGCCCTGCTGGACATAGGCAGGGAGGAGGAAAGGCGGGATGGGAGAGTAAGAAGATAAATAAGGGAAGGGGGTGACGGGGTGAGCATGAGGGTACAAGAGGAGGCGAGGGCAGGAACTGGGAGGGAACTGACATGACTGAAGGGCTACAGGTGGGAAAGAATAGAATCCAAGGCCCAAGGTGTGGCGTCCTTCCTCGTGCGCTGACGTCAATCGCCCCTGCCAGCACCCCCCAACTGCCCTCAATTCAGGAAGGAGCTGACAGCGACGGAAGCAACTCCTCGCTCTAGTGAGCACCGCATCCTGGGTACAAATTCGCCCCACTTCCCATATGTGGGGGGGGCAAGTGAGGCCCCTGCCCTCTCCCTCCCCTGGCAGAAGGAAGGAAGCCTGGGAGGCGGGCTCACACGTCTGACCCCGTCTGACCCCGTGTGTCGATGGTCTCCCTGAAGCAGACCGGGCATGCTCCGCGCACTCACCGGGCTGCCGTCAGGGTCTGGAAGGGCTTCGTGGCGGGTCTGGGTCCCTGGGGCACATCTTTGCACGCAGGCTCCACCTTCTTGCAGGAGCCAGGCTGGACCAGGCGCCGTGTGTGTTGGAGAGCGGCTGCCAAGGCTTATTTCCTGCTCCCGTCCTCGTGCCCCACCTGCGCCTCTCCGGGCTCTGTGCCACTTCTCCACACTCAGCTGCGCCGGGAAGGAGGCACCGGAGGAGGGCATGCTTTGGAAGAACCTGTCCTCAGTGCTGCCTGAGAGTTCAAAAGCCCTCTCAACCTGGACAGCCTGGAGGCCAGAATTTGTCGCTTCAGTGAGCGGCCTGGCTGGGGGTAGGAGGTCAAGTTCTGGCCCACCCACTTGCAGCTCCTGCTTCAAAGAGGAGCCTTTCTAATCGTCTGGGAAATCTCTCCTGGCTCCCCCACGCAAACACTTTGTCTTCTAGGAGTTTCTCATCGCTGGCCTGCAAGTCTCTCTCCTCCGGGCAATTAAGAATCCCACTGCCCGCCCTTCCAGGCCAGGTCCTCACCCTGGGCCTCGCACCAATGGCCCCAGGGCTTCTTAGGAGAGGTCTTGCTGCCCCTGCCCACAAAAGCTTGGCATGCAGGAGGCTGGAGCTCTGCTGTTTTGGAACGCATCTACGTAGGGCCTAGTGTTTCCAGTTTCCCCTCTTTCCCCCAGGGAACCCAGGAGGAGGACAGGGTGTGGACCAGGGCCTGCTATGGCACTAGAAGGTTCATGGCAGTTGGTCTGATGGACCTTGTGGGAGTCAGATCAGCAAACAGAACTGACACCAGTCCTTATCATCAGTCGTTTTCGTAGATCAGGAGCCTGTGGGCTCACCAAGGGCAGTGTCCACACGAGTCCTCCTCCTGCTTTGGCTGTTGGGCATCAAGCCTAAACAGTGAGAGCTCAAGACACACCCGCCCCTGTTATCCTAGGCACATTCTCCTAGCTTTGGGGAAGTGACCGGCTCTTTCTGACTGCTGTACTTTTTTTTTTTTTTTTTTTGCGGTACGCGGGCCTCTCACTGTTGTGGCCTCTCCCGTTGCGGAGCACAGGCTCCG